CCCCTCAGTGCTTGTGCTGGTTTTTGCCTCAGGGATCGTGGATGACCTGCGGGCAGCAGGAGTTCGGTGTTTCGGGCCCGGGGCCAGGGCAGCCCAGCTGGCCTCCAGCAGCAGCTCCAGCAAAGCCTTCCTGCAGCGCCATGGGCTCCCCACAGCTCGCTGGGCAGCCTTCAGCACCCCCCAGGAGGCCTGCAGGTTCATCTCCAGGTACATGGGCTGCCATGGGGCTGCTCTGCCATCACTGGGGGCTTGGGAACCCCTCAGCTCCTGCTGGGTTAATCAGCTCTGGAATTAGACACAGCTGATGAAGGTTCAGCTGTGGACCTGCTGGAGCCAGGCTGGGAGAGCTCACCTGGACAGGAGAAGCTCCAGAGAGAGCTCAGAGCCCCTGGCAGGGCCTGAAGGGGCTCCAGCAGAGCTGCAGAGGGACTGGGGACAAGGATGCAGGGACAGCACCCAGGGAATGGCTTCAAAGTAGGGTTTGATGGCATCTTGGGAATGAGGAATTGTTCCCTGTGAGGGTGGGCAGCCCTGGCACAGGGTGCCCAGAGCAGCTGGGGCTGCCCCTGCATCCCTGGCAGTGCCCAAGGCCAGGCTGGACACTGGGGACAGTGGGAGGTGTCCCTGCCATGGCAGGGGTGGCACTGGGTGGGATTTAGGGTCCTTCCAACCCAACCCTTTTGTGATTTTGTGAACTGCAGCAGTTGATTTTTCTGTTCTCAATTTCCAGCTCTTCTTCTTTTCCATCTACTCCTTCAAGATGCTCAATAAATCATTCATAGACAAAAAATTGTAATAAAGAAAAGTATTTAAAAAATATTTTTGTTAGTTAAGGTCTGAGAATCATTTCTACCCAGACAGAAGCCAGCAAAACACTCTCTGAGGATGATTTGGAAGGTTCTGGTCAAATATCCATAACAAAAGGAGATCAGTCCCATTTCTTTGCCTGTGGGTTGTGTTCCCAGACTCCTTGTCCTTGCTGGCAAGTGCATGTGGGATAAACTCGTGGAACTGTGGGGTTTTTTTGAGTAAAACCAACCTTTTTCCTGTTTTTGCTCTGTAAGGACACCCAGTTTATGTTGCTGCCAACAGAGACAAGGCCAACACCTTCTCTGTCAGCACGTGCAGGGCTCCAAAGGGAAAACTGTCCCAGGTGTGCACAGAGAGATGGGAAAAAGGGAGCCTGGGGTGTATAAACTGGGCTGAGGTTTAACAGAAATCACAGTGTGGAAATAAGAGTGAGGTGTTATTTCAGGAAACAGGAAATTCAGCCTTTCAAAAAAGGTTTTTTTGGTTATTCACAAGCCAGGGGGTGATTGGTAAAGTTAAAATCCATTCATTACCAGGGTGATGCTTTGTTCTTTTTTAAGTTCTGGATTTAGCTTGTGTTTCAGAGTAAGTGGGGGAATTCTGGAGGCACAGTGGGAGTGTGGGGAGCATCCAGGAGCAAAGTGGAGATTTCTCTGGATGCAGCAGGGATGTCTGACCCCTCTGTGCTTCCCTTAAAGCACAGACTTCCCTGCGTGGGTGGTGCGGGCGCGGGGACCAGCGGCCAGGAGGGAAGTGACCATTGCAGCCAGCAAGGAGGAGGCCTGCAGAGCTGTCCAGGAGATTATGCAGGTACAAAAATCCGTAATTAACCCCTGCCAGTCCAAATCTTGGTGCTCTGTACTCTGGGAGTTTGTAATTGCTGATACAGGGGCCGGCGTTTTTGGGAGAAATTGTTCATTTGACTCAAGAGTTTCCCTGGGTCCCCTCAGACTCCTCCTGTGTGCCCCAGGCAGGGCTGGGAGCTTTTGTGACTGAATTGCTGTTCCAGCCTCGGGTTCCACTTCTCTGCCCCTCCAAATTGGAATTTTTCCTTGTCTCCCAGGCCTGATAGGGAATATTTCAGTGTTGCCTCCTCATGTCCAAATGAAATTCCAGTGGCTTTCCCCACTGGCGTTCAAGCAAGCCGGCACCTCTCATAGACATTGGTTATTTTGTTAGAAGAAAATGAAGAGAGAATTTAGGCAGTGGATTCATATCTGCTCACTGAGGATCTCTTTTGTTTTGTTCTTTTACAGGACAGAATGTTTGGAGAGATGGTTGTTATTGAAGAATTGCTTCAAGGGGAAGAACTTTCTGTAGGTATTAATGGTGTGATGTTGTGCTCTTACCTTTTGGCATTATTGCTGTGCTTCTGTATACATACCCATGTTTATTTATTCAAATTTCTTTATTTTTTTGTTTTATTTGCACTTTGAGAAATTAATGTCTATTGTATACCATGAAATCTAAGCCCTGTGTCATGCTAACCAATGCACATTGTCAGCCAGATCAACAATGACATTGCATTTATAGTGGTTATTTTAAGGGGAATTTTTTTTCCCTAAAGTGACCCAAAACAAGTTTTTATGAACTTTGCCTTGGTAATTCGTGTTACATCTGTAACTTTGTGCTAATGTTGAGGGCCTCTTTTAGGCTATTCACATGGCAGAGGACAGGCATGTGTTCCCATGTGACTCAAAATCTGATTAATCAAAAGGGAATTGTAATGAAAGCCACCATTTCTCTTGGTAATTTAAACATGAGAAAGAAACAATGAATCCTTCAGGTCAACGGGGTTGTAGCAGAATAAATGGATCCTGAGAAATTCTTCACTCAGAAGCTGCTGAGGCCCTGGCACAGGGTGCCCAGAGCAGCTGGGGCTGCCCCTGAATCCCTGGCAGTGCCCAAGGCCAGGCTGGACACTGGGACTGGAGCAGCCTGGGACAGTGGGAGGTGTCCCTGCCATGGCAGGGGTGGCACTGAGTGGAATTGAATATCCTTTACTGTGGAGAATTTGACTAAATGTTCTCAGAAGGCTGATATGTTATGTTATTTATTGTATATTATATATTGTATATTATACATTGTATTGTATTGAAATGGTATACTAAAACTATACCAAAGAGAGAAAGGAGATATCAGAAGGCTGGAAAAGAATGAATACTAAAAACCCATGACTGACCAGAGTCCTGACACAGCAGGGCTGGGATTGGTCATTAATTAAAACAATTCATATGGAACCAATCAAAGATGCACCTGTTGGTGAGCAACCTCCAGACCACATTCCAAGCAATCAGATAATTATTGTTTCTATTTCCTTTCTGAGGCTTCTCAGCTTCTCAGGAGAAAAATCCTGGACAAAGAAGATTTTTCATAAAATATCTCGGTGACACTTTGCAGTGTGGGCGTCTGCAATTTCCACATTTTCCAGCAGAACTGAGCTGAGGCTCAGCAGTGCTGTCCCTTGTGCTGTGGCCATTGTCACCGCTGTCACCGCTGTGCCTGTCTCTGTCCCTGCAGTGCTCCTGCTTCACCGACGGTGTCACCGTGGCCTGCATGCCCCCGGCTCAGCCCCACAAGCGGCTGCTGGACGGGGAGCAGGGCCCCAGCACGGCAGGGATGGGCGCCTATTGCCCCGTGCCTCAGGTACTGCCCTAGCCCTGCCCTGCACAGCCCTACGGGGCCCTGCTGCTCCTGGAGGGCTCTCACCCTGACAGTCATCCTTTGGGCTTTAATTCTCTGGAGTAACCTCTCTTTTACCTCTTCTGTTATTCCTAAACTTAGTGTTTCTCTGCTCCCGTCAGCACCACGTCAGGAATCCCTGCAGAATTCCCTGTGGGGCCTGAGCATAACCTGAGGGTCCTTGTTGGTCCTTACAGCACTGGTCCACCACATTTGCAGTGCGTGTTTCTCCAAGGACAGAAACACTCTGGCTGTGTTCAGCCCAG